GCCTACTTTTGTATGAGTTTTCCCTTTCACACATCTCCCTATATTTTGGCATTCAGAATTCTCGTCCTGTGTTGTGGGGTAGGTTACCACAAGGTTAGTTTGTAGCATTGTCCATATTTTCCCACAAAGGCCTTTGATGCAGTCAGTCCCTGCTTGTGCTGGGAGTCTTTGTGGGACACAACTGAACTGGGGAGGCACGGCATGGGAAATACATCCTTATGCCATCATCCTCCAAGCTTGTTCCTGTCCCAGCACTCTCGGAGGGTTTTTTTGCTTATTTTAGGAAAATGCTTCAGAAATCACAGCTTGGGATTTTTTCCCTACAGATTATTTTAAGCTGTGCCATAACGTGGACGGAAGATCTGCAGCAACGTAACTTTGTAGCACGAAAAGGCAAGTGCTTTACACACAGATATGTCCCCACAGATCCATGAGGTTCATGCCAAGAACATGGACAAATATTTCTACTACCCTGCTGGCCACCTGGAAGTACAGAAAGCAAGCAAGCAACTTATACAACTGCAAAATCTATTTGTCATGTTCCTTCTGCTCTAAGAAAAGGGAGAAAGACTGACCAGGAAAACAGGGCTGATAGTAAAGGTTTTGTTGTTTTTGTTTTTCTTTTTTTAAATTATTAAATATCCTACATTCCCATAATAGGTGCATTGTTTTATAATCTCACAGAAACATTCAGAATTCGTGACTGAGAGTAAGTAAGTGATAAAAAATGATTAAATCTGTTACACTCCCATAAAAACTGCATTTTTTTTATGATCTCACAGATACCATCCAGAAATCATCACTGACAGTAAGTGATAAAGGATGATTAAATCTGTTACATTGTTGTAATCACTGCATTTTTTTATAATCTCACAGAAACATTCAGAAATCATCACTGATAGTAAATGGTAAATTCTTAAATCTGTTAAATTCCCATAAAAACTTGAATTTTTTAATAATCTCACAGATAACATTAAGAAATCATGACTAATAAGCAATGTTGGGTTTCTTTAAATGTTTAAATCTGTTCCATTCCCATAATCACTGCATTTTTTTATAATCTCACAAATAATGTTCAGAAATCATCACTGAGAGTAAACGGTAAAAAATTATAAAATCTGTTACATTCCCATAAGAACTTGAATTTTTTAATAATCTCACAGGTAATGCTCAGAAATCATCACTGATAATAAATGGTTTTTTGTTTGGTTTTTTTAAAATGTTTAAATCTGTTCCATTCCCACAATCACTGCTTTTTTTTTTTATCACAGGTAACATTCAGAATTCATGACTAACAGTAACTGATAAAAGATGATTCAATCTGTTCCATTCCTGTAATCACTGCATTTTCTTTATACTCTCACAGGTACCATTCAGAATTAGTGACTGATAGTAAATGATAAAAGATGATTAAATCGGTTCCATTCCCACAATCACTGCATTTTTTAATAATCTCACAGAAACATTCAGAAATCATCACTGATAGAAAATGGTAAATTATAAAATCTGTTACATTCCCATAGTAACTTGAAAATTTTAATAATCTCACAGGTAATATTCAGAAATCATGACTGATAATAAATGGGTGTTGTTGTGTTTTTTTTAATGTTTAAATCTGTTACATTCTTATAATCATTGCATTTTTTAATGATCCCACAGATAACATTCAGAAATCATCACTGAGAGTGATAAACGATGATTAAATCTGTTCCATTCCCACAATCACTGCATTTTTTTTATAATCTCACAGAAACATTCAGAAATCATCACTGAGAGTAAATGGTAAAAAATTATTAAATCTGTTACATTCCCGTAATAACTTGAATTTTTAAATAATTTCACAGATAACATTCAGAAATCATGACTGATAATTAATTTTTGGGTGTTTTTTTTTTTTTTTTTA